CAAGCAACCACATGTGCGGCGATCGAAGCATGTTCATAGAGATCAATGAAGCGACAACTGGAAATGTCTCATTTGGAGATGACTCAAAGATACCAGTCAAAGGAAAAGGTAAAATTCTCATACGCTTAAAGAATGAGAGTCATCAATTCATATCCAACGTCTACTATGTTCCTAACATGAAAAATAATATTTTGAGCTTGGGACAATTATTGGAGAAAGGATATGACATCCACTTGAAAGAAAATAGTCTTTTCTTAAGAGATTGTGGGCATAAATTGATCGCTAAGGTGCCTATGTCAAAGAATAGAATGTTCCTCTTGAACATTCAAAATGATGTGGCAAAGTGTTTCAAGGCCTGCTATAACGACTCTTCGTGGCTATGGCATCTACGATTTGGACACCTCAACTTCGGTAGTCTAGAATGTTTGTCAAAGAAGGAGATGGTGAGAGGCTTGCCTAGTATAAACCACCCAGACCAACTATGTGAAGGATGTCTAATTGGGAAGCAATTCCGAAAAAGCTTTCCAAAGGAATCAACATCAAGAGCGGCAAAACCACTAGAGCTCATACACACTGATGTCTGTGGACCAATCAATCCAAACTCTTTTGGTAAGAATAAATACTTTCTTCTATTTATTGATGATTATTCTAGAAAAACATGGGTTTATTTCCTGAAGGAGAAGTCAGAAGTGTTTGAAAACTTTAAGAAGTTCAAAGCCCTTGTGGAGAAAGAAAGTGGTCTTTCTATTAAGGCTATGAGATCTGACCGAGGAGGAGAGTTTACATCAAATGAGTTTAACAAATATTGTGAAGAGCATGGAATCCGCCGCTTACTAACAGTGCCAAGATCGCCACAACAAAATGGAGTAGTGGAGAGAAAGAACCGGACCATACTTAATATGGTGCGAAGCATGCTTAAGAGTAAGAAGATGCCGAAAGAGTTTTGGGCCGAAGTAGTAGCATGTGCAGTTTACCTGACAAACCGTTCCCCAACAAGAAGTGTGCATGAGAAGACACCACAAGAAGCATGGAGTGGAAGGAAGCCAGGGATCTCTCACCTCAAGGTGTTTGGAAGCATTGCATATACCCACGTTCCAGATGAAAGGAGAACAAAGCTCGATGATAAAAGTGAGAAGTATGTATTCGTGGGTTATGACTCAAGCTCCAAAGGGTACAAGCTCTATAATCCAAATAGCGGAAAGATTGTCATAAGTCGTGATGTGGAGTTCGAAGAAGAAGATTGTTGGGGTTGGAATGTTCAAGAAGACAGGTATGATTATCTTCCTTATTTTAAAGAAGAAGAAGATGAAATGGAACAACCAATGATAGATGAACATATTACACCACCTGCCTCACCAACACCAAGGTTTGATGAAATAAGCTCAAGTGAGAGGACACCACGATTAAGGAGCATTGAAGAGCTTTATGAGGTAACCGAAAACCAAAATGACATTAACCTCTTTTATCTTTTTGGTGATTGCGAGCCTCTAAGCTATCAAGAAGTTGTTGAAAACATAAAGTGGAGAGACGCCATGGATGAAGAAATAAAGTCAATCACGAAGAATGATACGTGGGAACTTACTACACTTCCACGAGGACACAAAGCAATCGGAGTAAGATGGGTGTACAAGGCAAAGAAGAATGCAAAAGGAGACGTGGAGAGATACAAAGCAAGACTGGTGGCAAAAGGTTATAGTCAAAGACAAGGAATTGACTATGATGAGGTATTTGCCCCCGTTGCTCGTCTTGAAACTATTAGACTGATCATTTCTTTGGCAACCTAGAGTGAATGGAAGATCTATCAAATGGATGTGAAGTCGGCCTTCTTGAATGGTTTTCTCGAAGAAGAAGTTTATATCGAGCAACCACAAGGATATAAAGTAAAAGGGCAAGAAGAAAAAGTCCTCAAGTTGAAAAAGGCGTTGTACGGACTCAAGCAAGCACCGAGAGCTTGGAATGTTCGAATCGACAAGTACTTTCGAGACAAGAATTTCATCAAGTGTCCATATGAGCATGCACTCTATATTAAAGTGCAAGGTGGAAATATTTTGATTGTGTGCTTATATGTTGATGACTTGATCTTCACTGGGAACAATCTAAGCATGTTCGAAGAGTTCAAGAAAGACATGTCAAATGAATTTGAGATGACAGATATGGGGCTCATGGCATATTATCTTGGCATTGAAGTAAAGCAAGAAGACAAAGAAATTTTTATCACCCAAGAAGGCTATGCAAAAGAAGTCCTTAAGAAGTTCAAGATGGATGATGCCAATCCGGTTGGCACCCCGATGGAATGTGGCAGCAAGTTGAGTAAGCATGAAAATGGAGAGATTGTGGATCCAACTCTTTAAAAAAGTTTGGTTGGAAGTCTACGTTACTTGACAAGTACAAGGCCGGATATTCTCTATGCTGTAGGAGTCGTAAGTCGTTACATGGAAGCTCCAACAACAACTCACTTCAAGGCGGCAAAGAGAATCCTTCGATATATCAAAGGTACAACAAACTTTGGCTTACACTATTACTCTTCTAACAATCATGAAATTGTTGGCTATAGTGATAGCGATTGGAGTGGAGACGTGGACGATAGAAAGAGCACTACTGGTTTTGTATTCTTTATGGGAGATACTGCTTTCACTTGGATGTCAAAGAAACAACCTATCGTCACACTGTCAACTTGTGAAGTTGAATATGTTGCCGCTACATCATGTGTTTGTCATGCAGTTTGGCTAAGGAACTTGTTGAAAGAGTTAAAAATGCCACAAGAAGATCCTATGGAAATATGTGTTGACAATAAATCAGCACTTGCTTTGGCAAAGAATCCTGTATTTCATGAAAGAAGTAAACACATCGACACCTGTTACCACTTTATAAGAGAATGCATCGAGAAGAAGGATGTGAGGTTGAAGTATGTGATATCTCGAGATCAAGCTGCCGACATTTTCACCAAGCCACTCAAGTTGGAAACGTTCATAAAGCTAAAGAGTATGCTTGGAGTCACAAATCAAGTTTAAGGGGGGATGCTGAAAGATTAAACTTGATTTGGGCCTAAAATATTATTTGGATTTTTGAGCTTAGTTGTTTTGGACTTAGATAATTTTAATTAATGTTTCTAGAAAACTCTTGTAATGTTTGGAGTGTCTAGATATTTCTTAGGGTAGTAATATTCTCTAGAATGCTCTTGGAATTCCTAGAGTTGAGAACTCTCTAGAATTAGTTTGTCTAGAGTTCTCCTTAGAGTACTATAAATACAGATGTAATTCTACACTTTTGCATCAAGCAAAATACAAAGTTCTCTCTTCCATAAATAATTCTTCTACCTATCAAGTTTCTCTTTAAACCTCTAATATTCCCACACACTTTCCTAAACACAAAAGGTCTTATTTCCAACACAAACTTCTTGTCGTGCAGAATAAAGTCCAAAGTGTTTTTATTTTTTAGGATTCCTGTTGGGATTAACCCTCGCTGCATCAAACCGTGGAAATTCTTGGTGGACAAGTTCGGAGCAAAACTCGCGAAGTGGAAAGGGAAGTTGATGTCACTTGGACGCAGAGTCACTCTGATCAAATCGGTCCTGAGTAGTGTGGTTATTTTCTCCTATCTTTCTATCAAGCTCCTACTAAGATTTGGAAGGAAATCGAAATTATCCAAAAGCAATTTTTATGGGCTGACTATGATTCTTCGAAGAAAATCCATTGAGCAGCATGGAATTAGGTCTGCTCTCCTTCTTTTATGGGTGGTTTAGAGGTGAAGGACATCAAGAATTTTAACAAGGATTTTCTTCTGAAGTGGAGGTGGAGAATTTTGTTTGAGAAGGAAACTTTATGGAGCAAAATCCTTGAGGCCCGATACGATGATGTTAGCGGCCTAGTTCTCTCGAGAAAAAGGATTGCTGTTAGGTTATCAGATTCTGCATAATGGAGGGAAATTTGTAAAGTTGATACACTTATTATCAACTCAGATTTTGATTTTGGTTTTGTAGGTTTTATTAAATGTTCACTCGGCGACAGAAAATCTATCCCTTTCTGGACGGCTGGCTGGACAGGATCGGCTTGTCTTGAAGACCGTTTTTCTGATCTTTTTCGAGCAAGCACCAGCCCTGCTGAGCATTTGGCGGGCAGATTCTTGTGGGATCCGGATCCGGAGGTAGGCTACACGGTGAGATCGGGTTATGATATTTTAAGGGAAGGATCTTTTGTTTCTGTTTTCTTGCTGTAATGTGATGCATTTGAGTTTTAATGGGGCTGTACGTAGGATTTCCGATTTAATTTGGAAAATTAAAATCATTTGAATCTTTCTATCCCAGACTTGTCTAAACCAGTTTTTGTAATTGGGATTTGAATACCCCTATTATCTCTTAATTAAACCTTGCTTTTTTTTCTTCTTTTACAAACTTTTCTGCTTTTTTTTTTTTTTTAAGGAATTATGATAAAATTGTATTTTTCTTTTTGAAGGATAATAAAGTTGTATCTTGAATTCTAGAAAATATCAAAAGTTTCAAAAGGCATATATTATGTAATCACTGCTCTTAATTTGATGATATTTAGTTTCCTTTTTTCCTTATTAGAGATTTGATATGCCTGCTAAGTAAGCCTTTTTCCTGAGACATTTAACATGAGTTATGGTGCACCAAAAAGGCATATTCGTATACATTAAGTTTAATTCCATTTTTATACAATCAAAAAGCCATAAAATGAATAACCAGATTTTTTTCCAAAGTTAACCATAAAAGGCATCTATATATATATATATATATATATATATATATATATATATATATATATATATATATATATATATATATATATATATATATATATATATATATATATATATATATATATATATATATATATATATATATATATATATATATATATATATATATATATATATATATATATATAATGCATCTATGTATTCTTTCCATGCAAGCATTATTCTTTAATATAAATTTAATGCATTGGAAAATACCAATATCAATCTCTTTAACCATAGTACAAATGTTTGTGTCATTTATAATATTTCTCGCCATTTTGGTTTCAAAAGGAAATGGTGGTTATAATATTTCTTCGTCTGACCCATATGCCGGTGGAGTCAGTATCATAATCATCAATGGTGGTTATGATACAATTTGGCCAGCCGTGTATACAGAAAAAGGGGATAGAGTGGTTCCCACCGGTGTCAAATTGGAGTCCGACGAACAATATGAACTCAAGATCCCTGATACATGGTCAGGAACAATATGGGCTAGAACAGGTTGCAGTGGAAACCCAAATAACAGTTTTCATTGTGCTGTTGGAGATTGTGGTACCAATCATATTCATTGCCATTACAGCAAACCAACACCTCCTGTGACTCAAGTTAAATTTGATTTGGTTCCTAAAGGTGGTAGCAGTTCCTATAAAGTAGACTTTAGAGATGGCTTCAGTGTGCCTGTTACATTAACTCCATGTGATTTGAAATGCGAGAAAATTATGTGCATCACAAATTTAGTCAACGAATGTCCCGATTGGTTGGCTGTGTATAGTAATGAAGGGAGAAAGATTGCTTGCAAGAGTCCATGTTATACAACTAGAGAGCCAAAGGATTGCTGCACTGGTGAATATGCTTCACTTGAAATGTGTGCATTGAATAAATACACGGAGCTTTTAGATGAAAAATGTCCAAGTGTTGTTTCTAATGCTTTTGATGAAACTCATTTTACATGTTTTGAAGGGACTAGCTTTTCCATATTATTCAATTGACCAGTAATTGAACTAGCTTTTTTATACTAGATAACTAAGGTGTAGTCAAAGGCAGGACTTTAAATAACAGTCGCGAACACAGTAAAAATCTTCGCCATTTTGGTCGGTGCAGTGCAGATATTGTAATAGTTTTTGTAGTTGTTACCCTGTGAATTAATCACAATTTATTTTTATCATAAAACTGGGAATAACATATTGGTATTGGCAATGATTCTGTGAACGGAGAGTTAAACCTTGGTCAAAGGTAACAAACAGATGGTCCACTTGCCTAAAATGGTAGAGATGTAATATGATAAGATATAGGCATAATGTTGTGTTTAATATGCATTTAATAAAAAATATTTGATGAATAGAAAGGTTGACATTTAATAATTATCGAGTGGAAAAATATGAAATGATTCTATTCTAATTTCAATTTGTGTTTGTTAATTAACTAAGTTGGATATTTGGGGCTGAGGGTGAGTTTATTTTGGTGATTTGCTCTTAATTTCTTACATAGCTACTTTCTTGGTGATGTAACTTTTTGTTTTCCATGTAGGATCGGAGGGTGAGTGATGTAACTCTACTTATGTGAATATCAAGTCATTAAAAGATTAATACAAAATAGGCTTCCAAATGTGTATTTTGCAACGATGAAGAAGAAACTGTTGAATACTTAATGCTTCACTGCCCCATCACAAAGCAGACTTGGACTCATATTTGGGAGTGGATCGGTTTGGATAGGCTATTATCGGACAACTGTTCTATGGACTTTAAACATAGGGAAAAGATATTTTTACACTAAGTTTAACACTTACACCGTATAAGTATATCTAATATATACTATTTTTCTTTTTTTAATAATTACTTTACCTTGATTTCTGTGCAAAAAATTTGTTACTTTGTTGTGCATCTACGGTGTAGGTACGGTGTATATACCAAGCAGTGTCAAAATAGCAAGTCTCTTAAACATACGATGAAAATATTCAAAGAGAAGGTGGGAAAATATTGTGAGGGATTCTTGTGGAGGATATCTTTCTAGTGCATTTGGAACAAGCGAAATGTTGTGATTTTTAAAGAAGATGTCTGTCATGCAAAGGATATTGAATTCAACATTAAATTTCTCTCTTGACTTTGCTTTGGTCTTCTCAAAAAATCATATAGATGTAGATTTTTTGAATGGTGTAAGGCACCATTGAATTTCCTATTGTAATCTTTTGTAGATCTTTGTTGGCTTGTGCTTTGGCTCATTCCACTTGGTTAGATTGTTGGATTCTTTTGTATGTTATGGAGGATTGAGTACCTTTAATTCTCACTTACATATACATTTTTCTTATATAAAAAACTAACCTCAGTCATGTCTTCTCCAATTCGTATGAAGAAAAGAAAGGAAACACAAAATCGCAACAAAGATACATGCAAATAGTTTCTTTGACTTCTTTTTCACATTTTCAGTGCATGAAACATTTTCACTATTCAAGTTATAATAATATTATTGTTGATGTTGCTGTTGTTGCTGTTGTTGAGACCCTAAATCCTAAAGTTTTAATATTGTTGTTATTAAGGCCCTAAATTCTAGAGGTTTAATGTTGTTGTTGTTGTTTAATTGTTTAGATAAATAAAAGGTTTATTGATGATGTTGTTGATGTTGTTATTGAGATTGAAGGTTTTAATGTTGTTTTTTGTTGAGATTGAGGTTGTTGTTGTTGTTGTTTAGTTTAATATTGAATGTTATATGTTTTTGTTATTTTTGTTGTTGATGTTGTTGTTGTTGTCGTTGTTGTGATTTACCAATGTTTTGATTTTATAATGTGAGTTAGAAAAGTTTTTAACTTAGCAAAAATCATATTCAAGATGCGTGACTTTACAAGGATTTTGATTTTATTTTCAGAAGGTATTGTAAGGTCAAGAGATATCGTGTCCAATGGGTTTTAATTATATTAAAATACATGCATGTCATAATGATTGCATATTATACAAGAAGTATCTGAATTGTGGGGAGTCACACTACAAGGTGAAGGATAGTGGTGGTGGTGCTGATGATGATGGTGCAAGAAGTATCCTCGTGCCATAGTGTCGTTTACCTACAATAATTCGAAAGGTTCAAGATGTTGTTTGTTAATCTAAATGACACGAAGGATATTAGATGTCATGCATATGAGAGAAAATGCAATGGAAGACTAGTTATGTAGCTGATTATCTGCAATAGAAGAAAGTTGATTCATTGTATCTTATTTTGGCAATGAGCCGAGAAACGTTAAGCTTAGACTTGACAACGATGAAATGAACCCTTTTGGTAATCTGTGTAATAACCATATTTCATGGCTTGTACTTCTTATGATTTACAACCTATCTAAGTGACTATGCGTGAAGTGCAAATATATGATGTTATCTATGATGATTTTGGGGCCAAAATAACTAGGAAACAAAATAGATGTTTATCTAAGTCCATTTATTGAATATTTAAGATTTTTGTGAGAGGAAGACGTTGAAGTTGGTGATGCGTATTCGGGTGAAAATTTTGAGATGTGTGCCGTGTTATTTTACATAATCAATGACTTTCCTGCATATGGTAATTTATTTGGATATAATGTAAAGGGACATAAAGTGTATCCTATATGTGAATCTAATAAGTTCTCCCACCAGCTATAGAATGAAAAAAAATATTGTTTACTTTGGGCATCTTAAACTCTAAGACCAAATCATTCATATCGTAGATTATGGAAGGCTTCAATGAAGAGCATAAGTTTGATATTACTCCTAAGTCCTTTATCAGGAAGGAAACTTATAAACTACAATAACACGAAAAAAGAGATTGATATTCTTTGGTCTTCCATATTTCTTTAGCCTTAATGTAAGACATTGTCTTGATGTTATGCATGTGATGAAAAATGTGTGTGATAGTCTTATTGGATCACTTATAAACATTAAAGGCAAGAAAAAAATATGATAAGAATTCTTGTCTATATATCATGATGATAGGTATACGACAAAAGGTCACCCTAAAATAAATAGGAAAAATAACATATTTTTTTCAAAAGTTTTTGTGAGTGTTTGTATGGTATCAAAGTTTCTCAATGGTACTCATCAAATGTCAAGAAAATTGTATCAATGAAAGATCAAGTTAATTGACTTCAAATCTCAGGATTTTCATTTCTTTATGCAACAACTTCTACCCGTGACTATCTTTGGAATCCAAGCGAAAAATATAAGGGTGACTATAACCAGATTGTGCTTATTCTTTAATCTTATATGTAATAAAGTCTTTGACCCATAAAGTTAGATGAGTTAGAAGATAAATTTGGAATTATCTTATCTCAATTGGAGATGTATCTCTCTCTACCATGTTTTGACATTATGGTTCACTTAGTTATTAATCTAGTAAGGGAAATTAGATTATGTGGCCCAATTTATTTAAGTTGGATGTATCTAGTAAAGCGATACATAAAGATCTTTAAATGGTATACAAATTATCGTCATAGTATAGAAGCTTCGATCGTTGAAAGGTACGCCACATAAGAAGCTATTGAATTTTGTTTAAACTATTTGTCAATAGAAAACTCTACAGGAACTCAAATGCCTCGTCCTGATGGAAGATATGACAGTAGAGGTACTCAAGCTTCAAATGTTAAGCTTCAAATGTAGCTCTTCAAGAAAATTTGTATATATTGAATAATGTTAATGAAGTTTAACCTTAATTATCCACTCATAAAATATTTATCAAGGGAAAATTCTCATAGATAAGTGATAAGGGGTTGCTGAAGAGCATAACAAGAGTTTTATAAATTGGTTTAATGAATGGATTTTTAATGGTGAGTGTGCATTAAATATATGACATACATGCCAAAATTTAATGTAATAACTTAGACTGCCTACAATATTATTAAAATTTTATTTTATATAAAATCAAAGAATGATCATAGTACAATTCAAAATAGTGAGATTACGTTTGAGGCTAAATCTATGTACTTCTTTAGTTCCAAATATAAGAATCTTGTAATGGCATCTAGACCGTACTTAATGGTCATTGAGGAGATTTGAGATTTTGATTATTTTGTATTCAAAGTGCCTTTATTTAAATGAAATTGAATTAACAATAATACTAGTGTACAAACTGATGAGTTAGGATTCACATGGGTTGACCTTCGTAATGCAGCTTGTATGAAAGAACCATTCATCATTACATCCCAAGAAAAACAAGTGTTTTATGTCACTGACTCTTTTGACAATAGATGGTCAGTTGTTATGCAAGGAAACAAATTCCTCTTACTGATGAAAATCAAGATTTAACTCTTGATATTCTTGAGACCCCTTCTTTCCCAACACATGTGTGTACGTCATATGAAGAAAATGATTCATATGAAGTGCACGCTATTCGCTATGATAACCGAGACATATGAGAAAACTAACAAGTAAATTTTTTTTTTTTATAGTTTATTCATAATTTTTTTGTTATAATTCCTAAGTGTTTTTACATGTGTGCCAACAAATGTTATTCCAACACGTGTTATTATTTCAACTTATATTTATTATTTCAAGTTAAAAAAATTTTTTTGTTTCCAACACTATGAAGTGCACGCTATTCGCTATGAAGTGCACGCTATTCGCTATGTTATTCCAACACTATGTTATTTCAAGTTAAAAAACATTTAAAGAAAGTATAAAGGAAGTATAACACGTGTTAGAATACAATTTTTTTTTGTTTCCTTGCTTTTGACTCAAAATTAGCCAACAAATGTTATTCCAACACGTGTTATTATTTCAACTTATAGGTGTTTAAAGACCACACCCAAAAGTATATGTTCATGTTGTGCATTATACTTCCTTTATATTTATGAGTCAAGAGCAGACTAATTTTGTATGTTAGTTGTTTCATTGCTAGTAATGTATAATATATGTCTCATTTTTGTTTTTGATTTAATAATATATAGTCTTGGTACATAATGTGTGTCATTTTAGTTTTAGTTTACAAATGTTCTATTCTCTTGTTGTTTTTGTATTGGTTTTAATTCATAAAAATA